CTAAGTTCCTCCCTCAACTACCAAACTAACCTGCTTACTCCAAGAGAGAGATAAAAAAATGAAACCCGGCCGGGCGCGGTGGCTCAAGCCTGTAATCCCAGCACTTTGGGAGGCCGAGACGGGCGGATCACGAGGTCAGGAGATCGAGACCATCCTGGCTAACACGGTGAAACCCCGTCTCTACTAAAAAATACAAAAAAACTAGCCGGGCGAGGTGGCGGGCGCCTGTAGTCCCAGCTACTCGGGAGGCTGAGGCAGGAGAATGGCGTAAACACGGGAGGCGGAGCTTGCAGTGAGCTGAGATCCGGCCACTGCACTCCAGCCTGGGCGACAGAGCAAGACTCCGTCTCAAAAAAAAAAAAAAAAAATGAAACCCAAGTGACACCTCACACATAAACAGAGTACCCACCACCACCACCACCCTGGGGTCATGAAAAGGTTTCACAAAATATACAGTGCCCAGAAACAAACTTCTCCACCATCTTCCAGGGCTACAGCTTCCTTAGCAGCCTACTCAGGTAGCTGAGTGCCTGAACTCATAATAAAAGGTAACGACATCTGGATTTACATGTTAATTTCTAAGGGGAGAGTTTAACAGTGCATAAGTAAACAGGGAGAACATAAAAAAATTTACATCTGTTGTTTTTGGACAAATAAATAAGCCCACATTTAAGTGATCTGATTCAAAGTTGAGCAGAAAGAAAAATAAGAACAAAGCATGGGACCTATGGAAAAATTCCATAGCGAAGAGAGGTCATAATTTAAAAAATAGCTGATGGTCACATTTTGGCAGAATTTGTTCCCCATGAACCAGGAATAAACTTAAACAATAATTGTTCTATATGCTGAAGGAGTTAAAGAAAATCAGAATTCTATGAAGTAAGATTTGGAAATGTAAAACATAATCATCAAGAATGAAATGATGCTACCAGAATTAGAAAATATTTTTAAAGAAATAGGTAATGCTAACAGGTAACTTAAAATTATGTTAAAAGCCTCAAAGAGTAAAATAAACATTGAAGTAAACTTAACTGAAATCCGAAAAGCAGTTTTGGAATATATACAGTGTGCAGTGTAAGGGGACAAAAATATGACCACATTAGACAAGATAGTATATTGAGGGAAGAAACCAGGTATCCAACACTGAGATAAACAGTGAGTTTGAAGGAAAGAACAGAACAAATCAAATGAATTGACTAAAAGGGGGTGGGGGGAAACTATCGGAGAATAATGGAAATACTCTATATCTTGATTTTACTTACATGAGTGCATATATTTATCAATGTTTATCAAACTGTTCATTACATTAAAATACGTGTATTTTATTGTATGTAAATTATACCTCAGTAAAGCAAAGTTAAAGAAAAAAACAAAAGGCTGACATGACAGAAGTCTAAAACACCAAAAATACGGTAGATTAAAATAACTGCAAAAAGCTTACACAAGTGCAGCAAATATTAACAATATTTCATTTAAAATACAAAATACTATTAGTTTTTAAAGACAATGCTGATTAAATACATAGCAGTTTATCAAATTCTGTGCTCATCATTGACTCCTGTATCCTACCATTTGTGTTTGTTATTTTTTTTGAGACAGAGTTTCACTCTTGTTGCCTAGGCTGGAGTGCAATGGCGCGACCCTGGCTTACTGCAACCTCCCAAGTAGCTGGGATTATAGGTGTGCACCACCACGCCCGGCTATTTTTGTATTTTTGGTAGAGATGGGGTTTCACCATACTGGTCAGGCTGCTCTCAAACTCCTGTCCTCAGGTGATCCACCTGCCTCAGCCTCCCAGAGTGCTGGGATTACAGGTGTGAGCTACCACACTCAGCCCCATCTGTGTTCTATTACATTTTTCATGAAGAGCATGTGCTAGTCATTCTTTCAATGGTGACCTGTTGGCTGTTAACTCTTTGGATCCTTATATATCTGAAGGGCTTTTATTTTGCTGTCACTCTGGAATGACCGTAGAGTTTATGTAAATTTCTACACTGTAAATTACTTTTTCTCAGCACTTTACAGATAACGTTATTATCTTCTTGAATCATTCATAGATTAGAATTCTGTTCATAGTCCAATTGTCATTCTTCTATAGAATAACTGTTTTTAACTTTCTGGTAGTTTTAGGACTTTTCTCTTTATTCTTTATGATTTGCATTTTTAGTACAAAGTGTCTGGATATAGATGTATTCTGTCTGTCATCTTCAATCCTTGAAATACACGTCTGTCAGTTAGAATTATTGGTTATTATCTCTTCAAATATAGATTCTTTACCATTTCTGCTATTATCTTCTTCCAAAGCTATTGGATAAATGTCCAAGACTTGCAGTGGGTTTTTCATGATTTTGAACTGTTCTTTCAGGTTTTTTATTTATCTTTCTATGCATTCTTGGTGAATTCCTCAACATTTTCTTTCAATTCATTAATTTTCCCTTTGCCCGTGTAATCTAGATTTATATTTCTTACTTCCAAGATTTCCAGTTTTTAAAATATTGACCTGTTTTTATTTTTACCTTAGTCTGTTTTTATTGAATAATAGCTTATTCTCTAATGTATTTTTTATTTATACCTTTGAAATTTCTAAACATATTTTATCAAATCTAAGATGTCATCAATTGACGCTGTTAATTTAAGTATGACACTTGCTACTATACATCTTAAAATTGAGGTATGTATCTTAAGACGGCAAGGGTTTTCAGTTTATTTTTAGATTCTTCTATTTAATTGTATTGCTGACCCTCTTGTAGATTTTGTTTGCTGCCTTTCTTAGATTTATATTTTTCATATGTTTTATTATTATAATTTTTTTTTTGAAACTGAGTCTCATCCTGTCGCCTAGCCTGGAGTGCAGTGGCATGATCTCTGCTCACTGCCACCTCCAACTCCTGGGTTCAAGCGACTTCTGCCTCAGCCTCTCAAGTAGCTGGGACTACAGGCGTTCGCGACCATGCCCAGCTGATTTTTGTACTTTTAGTAGAGGCGGGGTTTCACCATGTTGGCCAGGCTGGTCTCGAACTCCTGACCTCATGTGATCCACCCACTTCAGCCTCTCAAAGTGCTGGGATTATAGGTGTGAGCCACTGCACCTCGCAATATTTTTCATATGTTTTAGAATTTCAGAAGGTTCTCTCTGTCTTATTCACCACTCACTATATGTCACTCTTTCCTTTCCAGAAGTTTTGCAGTTGCCATTACTCAGACCTCATGGCCCTCAGGCCAGACCAGATTTTAGAGTTGTGAATGGGATTCCTCTGCCAGGGTAATAATTGGGGATATGGCAGATTCAGTCATCCATCTCTGGTGTGGTTTGACTTAGTTCCAGGTTAGCCAATTGGCAATGGAAAGAACTGATTTTTACTCTCCTTTCACAAGTCAGGGATCCTTAACCCAGCACCTTGTTTCAGTCAGTGGGCCTGTTTTTCTCCTATCTATCCCATTCCTGCAAATGGGAAAAAGTTGGATCTCCCTCTAAGTAGAAACTGAAGCCAACCATTTCTCACCACTTACACTGCTACAATCCTTATCGAGTCAACCAACAAGTTTATCTAGATAATAGCAACAGCCTCCTAACTGGTTACTCCATTGTTACTCTTGCCACCCACATTCCCCCTTCTCCCCACAGACCATCCATCTCTGAGCGAGCAGAGTGATCTTTCTAAAGTATAAATGAAACTACATTATTGTTCTGTTGAAAACCCTCCTAAGGATCTCTGTTGTAACCAGAATAGTATCTTAACTCTTCACCATGGCTTATGTGACCCTAGATGACTTTGCCCTGCTACGTGTTTCAACCCATCTTACTCTGCTCTCCTCCTAATTCACCGCACCCAAGCAACACTGGCCTCTTTGTTCTTTCAGCATTCCACACTGACTTCACACTGAGACCTCCACACTTGCTGTTTCCTCTGCCTCTTTCTCTTTACTTAGATTTCAGCTCAATATCCCTTCTTAAAAGAGGACATCTATAGCCACCCTAGGTGAAGTACTATGTTTATATTCTTCCATAATACTTGAATACTTCAAATACTTCCAAAGTATTCGAAATTATATTATATATTTATTTGTTGGTTGGTTTACTTGTTTTTGTTGTTGTCGGGGTTTTTTGTTTGTGTTTGTTTTTGTTTTTTGAGATGGGGGTCTTACTATACTGCCCCAGCTGGCCCCAAACTCCTGGCCTCAAGCAGTCCTCCCACTTCGACCTCCTGAATAGCTGGGATTACAAAGGCACATCACCATGCCCAGCTGGTTTACTTGTTTATTGACCATTTCCTCCCTCTAGAACAGAGTTTCCCAAATAGTACTGTGGTAAACTGTTGTGCTTGGAGGGGGTTATAGGTGTGCTGAAATATTGATTCTTTGGCCATCAAGGCTGCTCAGTTGACCCTATGGTAGCCTACCCAGACTCAAGCATTTATTCCAGTATACTGTACAAATAATATAAATTAGTATGCTTGCAATTAAATGGGAAAGATTGGGAAGTACTGCACTAGAATATAAACTACTTGAGGACGAGGAAAAAGCTGAAACTGTTGCTAATAGCATGTGTGTGTAGAAAAATGCTGGAGTGGCCACCAGACATTTTTTGAAGAGATCAACCTTGGATGCTTACTTCATGCCACATGGCAAGATCTGTTTGATATCTGCAAGCTGTCTTCCCTCCCTACCAAGTGATAACCGTCTGAAGCTTCCTACTGGTTAATAGTGACTCCACATAACGGAGAGATTTGAAAATTTAGGGATGCCTTTCTTCCACAAAAAATCTCCAAGACCACTTTTATGTTTGATCTGTTTTAGCCAAATACTGGAGCTTTGATCTCAGTCTTTTCCAGTTCTATCTAGTTCATTCAAGAAATATTTACTGAGTAGCTACTACAGACCAGGCACTATACTAGGTGCTTTCCATATGTTATTTTAAATTGTAAAATATTTTGTGCAAGATATTTTCCTAAATGTCAGAATATCTATGTGTCTTTTATGAAAATCTTTTAAAATTTCAGGTCAAATTGAAAAAAAACCTAGAAAACCATTGGATTCTGTTGGTCACTTAGAAGGTGATAGAAATAAAAGGTAATTTATTTCAAAATACTTAGTATTTTGTTCTGTTTAATGATGTTTCTAGTAGGACACATTTTATAATTGACCAGAATAAATTTATTCTACCTTATTGTTATCATTTAGTTCCATAGTACAATCGAACGGAGAGAAAGGCATGGAAAAATGAATAGAGGGAATACAATTTTTTTTTTTTTAGTAAATGCACACATTTACTTACACTACAACACAGATGTGAAAAAGTAGCTTTTCTTTGGATAAAGTTCTCATTTTTCTCATGAACCCTTCAAACTTTATGTAGTGAAAAAATCATTAATCCAGCGTGTTTCAAACTTTGTTTGAATCAATAATGAACAACCACTTTAGGTTTAATTCAGTTTAAAAACTATATCCTGGCCGGGCGCAGTGGCTCACGCCTGTAATCCCAGCACTTTGGGAGGCCGAGGCAGGCGGATCACGAGGTCAGGAGATCAAGACCATCCTGGCTAACATGGTGAAACCTCATCTCTACTAAAAATACAAAAAAATTAGTCGGGCCTGGTGGTGGACGCCTGTAGTCTCAGCTACTCGGGAGGCTGAGGCAGGAGAATGGTGTGAACCCGGGAGGCAGAGCTTGCAGTAAGCCGAGATCGCGCCACTGCACTCCAGCCTGGGCGACAGACCGAGACTCCGTTTCAAAAAAAAAACAACAACAACAACAACAACAACAACAACAACTGTATCCTGTCTCTGCCTGACCACACTACTCTATCCTCTTAACAAATGTGGGGCCACCCTGTGTTGGCATGAAGCTGCCCTGTGAAGCTTCTTTCAGAATCTCAACATAGGACGTTGCAAATACCTACCTTTGGTGTTCTCCTCAACCTACGTAATCATACAACTCGTCCCCACTCAAAATCCAAAGAGGTATATATATGACTCTCTTGCTTCCACTCCTGCTCTTGCTGTGTTCTCCCACAAACCAGGCAGGAAGGGATGATCTTGTCAGTTTGAAAGTCTGTGGGAGAGAGGTTGGTGCAGAAGTTGGCAGTGACTTCCAGGGATAAAAGGAGGCAGACAAGAACTAACAAGCTGCAATCAGCCCTATGAACATTGCCCTGAACTGTGTTTATTTTCAGAAAAAAATCTCCACAGATGAATGATTTTAATATAAAAGAAAACAAATCTGTCAGAAATTATCAATTAAGTAAGTATCATTCAGTAAGAAAGAAAAGCTTGCTCCCGTTGTGCTTTGAGGATGAATTGAAAAATCCACATGCCAAGATAATCAGCGTTAGTCCAACAAAGACAGTAACTTCTCACATGGTAATAAGCATATCATCTATCGTTAAGTAAATATGTGTAGTTATACAACTTACGGGAATCACCCATATATTTTAGTGACCAGAATCTTTGATAAATCCTTCTTACCTCTTGGTTTCATATTCCAAAGTGATAACAGCACTTAAGTTCTTAATGCTCTTTGCATAACCCCCAAACCACGCATTCCTTTACACTAGCTGAAAATTCAGTGTTTTTCTTTATGAAGAAGGCTCTATCAAATTTGCTTGATTATAATAGAACTATAAAATAAAAAGGATTTTTTTAAAAATGACTGTAGCAATCTAGCAGAATGCAGTGGTGTGCACCTGTAATCCCTGCTACTCTGGAGTCTGAGGCAGGGGAATTGCTTGAACCCAGGCATTTGAATCCAGCCTGTACAATATAACAAGATCCCAGTTCTAAAATGATGGGACCATGACTATGTGTCCATTTTTCTAATAATCTGTTTTGGCTTTTTCAACCAGAAAGTGCATTTATTAAAGGCTATTTAGTAACTCATGCTCTCTAGAGAGGCAGTCTGCTCGAAAGCTGTCTAGCCAGGAATCACCTAATTATATAGCCCCAGACTGCTCCACTGAGGCCCATACTATTGTCACAGATAACAGTTTATAACTCCGATGCTGAGCAGGGAATACTCTAAGACATTTGCTACTGCTGTTGTTCAAAGCTAGATATAACTCCTACCACCCTCACTAGAATAGTTTTCCCAATACTTTTTCACAGTGCTTGCTTTCTCTGAACTGAAGACTTCATAGGTGTATCTGAATGGCAAAGCCTAGAGCAAATGCCTATGTCCTAACCGCAAAGAAGCTGACAAACATGGTTCTTGCCTCTACCTAAGGGTACATAGACTTATCAAGCAGAAAATGTCCTAAGGCGATGGACAGACCAAAAACATTACAAACATCCATTATGATGGCTAAATAGGTAATATTGGCATCACTAGTGGATTGCAAAACTAGATCTTTGTCATCTTTTCAGTAATGATAGCAGACTTGGCTATTACTGTGATAAAAATGATCTATTCTCGAGTCAGTCTATTACTTTGGCTATTTTATTCCACAAATATTTATTGAGCACTTTTTAGGTGTCAGGTGTTAGGTGCTAAGTATTAGGGTACAATAATATCAGTTGTAGAGATAATTTTTAATTTTTTGAATTATTTACTAGAATATCCAGATTTGTAATTTTGGCCTGTAATCAGTTATGTCTCTTCTGAACTTTGACTCAATCCATTTTTTGGTATGCTTTTTAATTTCTAGAATATGGAAACCTAAGAAATGCCAGTACAACTACCCCATTTCTTAATGGCAGTACCTCAGATATTTAACAAATATACTTATTTTTTAATATTCCAATTTATTTCAGAAAACATTTAAGGTCAAAAGTTCAAGTTTCATGACTAACATCTCTATAGAATATTAAGATAAGAAGGATGTATGTTATATACAAGTACAGTACTTTCATATATTTGAATAATGCTACTGTTCATATTAAATATTTGTATGTAGTCATTTTTAGAATATTTTACAATTTTATTTACATGTTTTAAAATATATGGAGCTTTCTTGACTCAATGAACTTATGACTAATTACTCTTTTCTTTAATCCACAGGAACAAAAGGACACAAATCCCATAATTTTCCATGACTCAAAATATGTACGAATGTTACTTTTGACAAAAAATAGATTTTCTTCTCATCCATTGAAAAATGAAAACAATTACCCACATAAAAGAACAAATTTTATTTTAGAAAGAAATTGTGAAATCCTCAAATCTATAATTGGCGATCAATCTATTTCTCTTTTCAAACCCAAAAAAACAATGCCTACAGCACAGAGAAAAGATATACAGATCCCCATGTCTTTTAAAGTAGGCCACACAACTGTCGATGATAAACCAAAGAGGAAAACTAATAAGCAGACACCAGAAAACAGATCTTGGAATACACTCTATAATTTCTCACAGCACTTTTCTAGCCTAACAGAACAATTTGTGGGTTACCTTGATAAAGCTGTTATTCATGAAATTAGTGCCCAAACTGGAAAATTTGAAAGAATGTTTTCTACAGAAAAACCAACGAGCATACCCACATCCAGTGCCTCACCTGTCAAATGTTATTCAAAGCCTTTTAAATATATATATAAACTAAATAATGTAACACCACTGGATAATTTATTAAACTCGTCAAGTGAAATTTTAAATGCCTCATAAAATATCATGTATGCAACAATATTGGAGCAACAAGAAGCAAATATCCAAGTTCCAAAATTACAAAAGAAATTCTTATCCAAATAGTAATGTTCGAATTGATCATATAAGAAAGCAAAGCATAGACATTGGAATTACAAGTCAGCAGTCATCTGTTCAAGAACAATCAACATTTGTAGTAAATAATAGGACAAAATTAGGAAATAATTATCACCAAGAGGATCTAGTTCATGACTTTCTATTATCTCAATTAGATTGCTCAATCATCAGCCTTTCTATACTAAACTCTGATTCAGGACCAAGAACAGTATAGTCTGACTCTGGAAATGCGCTGTTGGAAGCCAAATAACATCAATACTCTTTTTCTATAATTGAATATCAAATAAGACAAATTATCATTAATTTAATGAACGTGGAGTTAATTGTATATCAGCATTTCAGCAAATCATCATCAATAGTATTACATTAACAATTTGTGCAATTAAAAAGGCTTTGTAAAACTTTGAATAGTTTTTTATTATTGTTAGTAGATGTTGGAACTTCATTATTATATAATGTTTTTGCAAACTTTAACTTTTTTCTGAATTGTTAAATAAAAGAATAACTATCCTTAATCTAAAAATTTTTGGTAGCAAATTCTATAAGGTATTAAACATTTTAAATTATATTATTACATTGTTATTTTACTTTCTCATTAACTTGAACAGTATAAAGGCAAAATTCAATTTAGAAACAAGTTGCATTTTGAAAGTTTATTGGTAATCCATTTGTTTGGAATTCAGAAATGCATTTCACATAAAAATAATCTTGTAAGTAATAAATTCCAAAATTAAATAACAGAAACTTACTTAAAATTTAATCCCATAGAGCTTATACGAAAATGGTAAAAAGCAATAATTTTGTAATTCCAATAACTAAAAGAGAAAACTGAGTAAGGAAATATTTTTTCAACCTTGACTGTTACTACTTGAAGAAAAACAGATTGAATTAAATGCATTTAAGTTAAGAAAAGGCTTTCGGGGTCTTTTGGAACATTTAAGGGTGAGGAGGTAAACTGGTTTAGGTTCCTCTGCTTCTATTTCAGACTGGAGATTTTCTTTATTATGCATCATCATCAATACTACTCAGGAGCATCTTCACAACTAGAGGGAGGTTTGGACTCTCAAAAAGAATGACAAGGAGAGAAAAATGGAGGTGAGGCCGGGCGCGGTGGCTCAAGCCTGTAATCCCAGCACTTTGGGAGGCCGAGACGGGCGGATCACGAGGTCAGGAGATCGAGACCAGTAAAACCCCGTCTCTACTAAAAAATACAAAAAACTAGCCGGGCGAGGTGGCGGGCGCCTGTAGTCCCAGCTACTCGGGAGGCTGAGGCAGGAGAATGGCGTAAACACGGGAGGCGGAGCTTGCAGTGAGCTGAGATTCGGTCACTGCACTCCAGCCTGGGTGCCAGAGCGAGACTCCGTCTCAAAAAAAAAAAAAGAAAAATGGACGTGGAGGAGGAGAGATGTACCTGGAGATTGTGTGAATGAGAGAAGAGAGAGAGAAAAGCTTCAAGATAAGGTGTTGGGCTCAGGTCTGTAGGAGGTAGGGGAGGGGCATACTTGCTTCCAGTTGCTGGCTGGGAAAAGGAGACGCTGCTGCAGCTCCAAGTAATGAAGCTGTCTTTTTCTTTTCCCCTTCATTCTTCTCTGGTTGCTTTTATATGTTCTCCCCCTGTTTTCCCTCATCCAAACTTACTGCAAAGCAAAACAGCTTCCCTAACTACACTGCCAACTCAGAACATAAAACAAACTCTTTTTAAGCACTAATGATCAGAATAACAAGAATTAGAAAATATACCTAATATTAGTACAAGTCATGACGGTAGTTTCTCTTGATACTTAGTATAAGAGAAACAAGTTTAGGCCTTGGAATAGGGCAGATAGGAGCAAATCGGGGCAAATAATGTAAATTATCTGAGCTTCAGTTTATTGTATCTCCACCTTAAAATGGAGACAACAATAATTTATTATGCTGCTATTCTCAGGATTACATAAAATAGCATCTAGTACTTTGAGCTTTGTAGCATTCAATAGAAATTTCCTTTCTACTCCCTCCTTTTCTCTGTAAGCCTGCTCTTAATGTAAGTGTGATCTCTTCTCTTCTTTTTTTTTTTTTTTTTTTAATTATACTTTAAATTCTAGGATGCATGTGCACAACGTGCAGGTTTGTTACATATGTATACATGTGCCATGTTGGTGTGCTGCACCCATTAATTTGTCATTTACATTAGGTATATCTCCTAATGCTATCCCTCCCCCCACTCCCTCCCCACAATAGGCCCCGGTGTGTGATGTTCCCCTTCCTATGTCCAAGTGATCTCATTGTTCAATTCCCACCTATGAGTGAGAACACGCGGTGTTTGATTTTCTGTTCTTGCTTTTCTTTTCTTTCTTGAGATGGAGTCTCGCCTGTCATCCAGGCTGGAGTGTAGCAGTAGCGTAATCTCGGCTCACTGCAACCTCTGCATCCCGGGTTCAAGCCATTCTCCTGCCTCAGCCTCCCAAGTTAGCTGGGATTACAGGTGTGTGGCACCACACCTGGCTAATTTTTGCATTTTTAGTTGAGATGCAGATTTTACCATGTTGGCCTCAAGTGATCCGCCCACCTCGGTCTCCCAAAGAGCTGGGATTACAGGAGTGAGCCACCATGCCCAGCCAGTGTAATTTCTAAAAAGATACTCCCAAAAGTTTCTCACTCCAAACTTTTCTAAATTAAATGCTAAAAACTACAGTATTCAGATTTTAACCCAAGGTGGGCTGAAATTACTACTGAGAATTTCTGTATTAGTTATTTTTGGGAGTTTCTGCGGGAACTTGTGAGCTTTATCCTTTAAGAAGGCACTAAATTAACTTTAAAATTACATTTGGCTGAGGATTCTCCATTAAAGCAGCTCAAGAACAAGAAGCAGTGGATTCTGAGAAGATGACAACCTAAGCTCTACTCCAGCTTTAATTTATCATCTTCTAAACTAAACAACTACTAGGGTCTTCAAGCAGCAGAGTGCAAGGCCAGACGTGGCTTCTATTCTGATACTGAGATCTGAGTATGGCCTTGGAGGCCAGTCTCTGTTCCAGGGAGAGCATTGAGTTTGTGCTGTTTCCTGGACTAGCCGGCCAGTTGGGATCTGTGGATTACTCTAGGTAAAGGTTGCCTTTGTCCCTCTGTAAATGCTCCTGGTCTTATTGGCCCCTAGGAGGCCAAAAAGGAGCCACTATATCTATAGGACAGCTTGGAAACCGGAGATCCATGAATTTTCTTTCAAATATCTCATCAGGGGACTGTGGTCTGCTTACTTCTGTTAAATTAAATAAGCAGGAGGCCATTTGCCTGAGGTTGTCTCTGTACTTTGAGTTTTTATATAACAAACTGCAACCTAACTTTATACATAAGCAAACTGAAACTTAGGAGTATAATAAATAGTTGCATTTCATCTGATCACAAGCAGCCAGATTTCAGTCAGGTTTCTGCCAATCACAGGCAGCCAGCTCATCACACCAAGCCCAAATAAGGCAGACACTTAGCTGTAGCCAATCAGGTGATTTCTCTATTTTGCTTCTGTGTCAGCCTATAAAAGCTTCCTACTAACAATGCTAAGCAGAATCCTTCGTACCTCTTCTGGTTCTGAGTGCTGCCCAATTCATGAGTTGTTCTTTGTTCAGATAAACTGTGAAATTTAATTTGTCTAAAGTTTTCCTTTAACATTTTTATAGTACCAGCCCACAGTGGGCAAGGCATTTACCTTCCACCCCTTACAGAACTATGGTCACTAAGGTACTACAATAAACAGAGCTGAGCTTCCCTGAGCCAACTAGAAAAAATGATAACCCATGTAAAGGGCCTAGCAGCCAAGTGTTTCTATCTTGACAAATAATGGTCTTGGAGTTAATTAATATGATGATTTAAATATATTTATCTGAAATAAGAACCTCTGGCTACAAAAATAACACTCTTCACCAACACTCCTAGGAGAAGCCAAAAAGGCACAGTACTGAAGCAATCTCAAAAGGTGGGAGCAAGACTTCCCTCGCAGCTGCTCATCTCCTTTCCAAGGGATGATAGATAGACCCTGATTGACCATAAACGTAATGATTAAGATCAAAAGGTAGGGGAAAATGACAATGAACATTTATTTCCCCACTCTTCTTGTTTCCCATTGGAAGAAAGTTTTATCTGTAGGAACACTCACAACCTCCACCCCATCCATTACTTACTTTTCCCCACTGATGAGTGTGAAACCTGATTTGGGGTGACAGCAATTAGCCCATTTCTGAACTGGGTAAGACTAATCTATTAAAAGATTGTAAGTGCTAGAGAATTGATTACTTTCTTCCCTTTTTATCCCAGTTTAGAGACAGCAGCATTCTGGTTGATGTGTGCATTTGGTAGACTCAAACGGTCTACTGAATCTCCAACTGGATGAGCAATGCCATACTTGGAGATGGAGAGGCAGAACAGTGTCCTAAACAAGTCCATTCATCTTTGAACCTAAGCCATGCTGTGCAAACATATAACTATGTTATAATTACCATCAACCTACCTGCTGCATCTATCAGTTGCTTTCAAATTTGGGTGGTGAAAATGGGCATTATTTTTTAGTCCCCTCAAGCCCCAACACATATCTTCCAATGTGCTTTCCCAAAAGGCCTCTTGTCAAAGATACTGATTTCATTACATAATATTTAAGATTTAAAAGATCACTCGGTTGATACTGTCAGAGATGGGAAAGTCTTGTAGGGCAGATCTATGTCTTACTAGTGATTTTTGGATCCCCAGTGTCTGACACAGGTACTAGCCCACAGTGAGTGTGGATGGGGTGGCAGGGAGAGCCACTAGAGCAATTCAAACTATTTACAAGTCATCAATCTTCCCTTCCTTGCTGAGCCACACTTTCCCGGAACTGAGATTCTGGTAACCTGGGCCAGCCTCACCCATTTCCCTACCTACACCAGCTCTTAAAGTACCAGCCAGAGTGATGGCTCACACCTGTAATCCCAGCACTTTGGGAGGCAGAGGCAGGTAGATCACTTGAGGTCAGGAGTTCAAGACCAGCCTGGCCAACATGGCGAAACCCCATCTCTACTAAAAATACAAAAATCATCTGAGCATAGTGGCACATGCCTGTTGTCCCAGCTGCTCGGGAGGCTGAGGCAGGAGAATCGCTTGAACCCAGGAGGTGGAGGTTGCAGTGAGCTGAGATCATGCCACCATGCTCCAGCCTGGGTGACAGAGCAAGACTGTCTCAAAAAAAAATTTAAAAAATTTAAAAAATTAAAAAAAAAAGAAAAACCAGCCAGGGCTGAGCATAGACCTCTACTTGTTCTAGCACGGGGACTGAAATTTAACATGGGTTCTCTACCACAAAGAAGGCCTTTTATGAGAATATTGCACAGATAAATCTGAGATGACATTTCACCATCTTGATCATACTATAGGCAGCACATCTGGAAACTTTTCTGTTACACAGAGTACTAAGTTCTTAGCATATCCAAGTTAAATCTATACCTGAACACAAGACTGGTATACTCTTACTCAGAGCCCACAGTTAGATAGTCACAATTTTTTAAAGCAGATC